GGCCCTTCTGCTGCACTTCCTTCTAGTTGGGATGCAGCACTCCTGAGCTTGTAGCAGGTGATCCTTGAATATCAACCAAGAGTCTTGGGCCCCCCTGCCCTCTAGGGCTGGATCCCATGGAACCTTCCTAAGCAGGTTCCTGAAGAGGCCAAAGTCTGCTCTTTTGAAGTCCAGGGCAGTGAGCTTGCTGCACGGTCTCCTCACAGTCCTGAGGATCTCAAATTCGAGCATCTCGTGATCGCTGCATCCAAGGCTGCCCTGGAGCATCACATTTCCAACGAGCCCTTCCCTGTTGGTGAGCACAAGGTCAAGCACGGCACCTCTCCTTGTCGGTTCTTCTATTTCTTGCAGAAGGAAGTTGTCTTCTACACAATCGAGGAACCTCCTGGACTGCTTGTGCCCGGCCGTACCGTCCTTCCAACAGATGTCAGGGTGGTTGAAGTCACCCATGAGAACAAGGGCCTGTGAGCGTGAGGCTGTTCCTATCTGTCTATAGAGTGCTTCATCCACAGGTTCTCCTTGATCAGGCAGTCTGTAACAGATCCCCACAGTAATGTCCCCCATCGCTTTTCTCCCTTTATCTCTCACCCACAAACTCTCTGTCAGCTGCTCACCTGTCCCCAGGCAGAGTTTCATACTCTCCAGCCATCACAAAGCTGTGGCGGTAGCTGTGGAGACGCCCATTGTGACGGGGCCCCCACGGTGAGCGTGGGCTTTTTAAGTTGCCAGAGCCCTGCAGTAACCAGTGTGGAGGAGACCCCTCCCTCGGGAGGCTGCATCTCCCGGGGCTGCCCTGTGCATCCAGGTCCGTGTTCTTTGACTTTGCAATCCTGTTTTAGTGTTGGCTTGAAACACATTGCGGGTGCGTGCTGTGAAGGGAGGAGAAGCTGTCAGGAGATGAGCTGGTGCCATCCCAGCTGTAGGAGGAGGGGATGGATGGGTGAGGAGGAGGCACTGGGCTTGTTCATGTGCTTGGAGCACAGCTCTGCCTGAAGAGGTGCTGGGGTGGAAGCCGGAGCCTTCTGCGTGCAGGAGCTGCTGGTGTCAGAGGTGCTGAGAAGGTGGCAGGGCAGGAGCAGCCCCTGGGCACTGCAGCTGCTGGTGTTGTCTCTGGGAGCTGAGCACAAGGGGACCTGCCTGGCTCTGGCAAGGATCACGGAAGCTCACCAGGCATTGCAGAAGGCGGCAGGGCCCTGGTAGGTTCTTGTGATCCCTGTGCCGGGCATTCCAGAAGGCACAGAAATTTCTAAACTTAAACGTATGAAAACAAACACTTGACAAGAACTTTTATCAGTTGCTCTTTGCAATCTTCCTGCACTCAGAAATCTCCAATGTGCTGTGCAACCTGAAAGACTTGACAAAACGCGAAGGTTTTAATGAGCCCCATGGTGTATTTGGGCTGAGCCCATGAACCTCATGTGCTGAGGAAACCTCTCAGGAAGTCCAAGTCAGAAACAAAGCCCCAAGTGCCTTCAGCATTAATGGGCCCCACTGAGGGCTGTTACTGGCAAAGCCTCCCCAGGGACTCGTTAAAGCAAGTAACTGGAGGCTGTGATTACAGGGAGACAAAGGCAAAATGCAGGTGTCTGATGGTGAGAAAGCCAAGCCCTGACTGCAGCCCTTAGGGAAGAGCCTGAAATCGTGAGAAGGAAAGGTCTCCTTATAGGTCTTGATGAAAGAGGCAACTGCCATAGCCCAGGGCACAGAGGCCTTTTGTTCTTTTGGGCCTTCCAGCCATGCCAGAATCCTCAGCCATCTCTGCTGCAGGCTGTCCTTCACCGGCCCATGCCTGCACTTCTTTCCCTTCAGGCTGTTGACCCCCATCTTGCTTTCCCACCTAGCTCTCACCTGGCATTTCTGTACCTTCAGTCCCATCTCTGCACCCATCGCTGTCTGTTCCTTGAAACACAAAGCCATGGGCTGAGCCAGACTTCCTCTGGGAGACCTCCTGCCCCACAAGTCCACCTCTTGAGAGACATTTCTCTTTCCTAACTTCGAATCTGATCCTTCTAGGCTGCACTTTGTAGAGGTTTCCTTCTCTTCCTGCCTGCAAGAAAACCTCCATCATCTCTGCAGCCACATTTCACCTAGTTGTAGGCTGCTAGTATAGTGTCAATTCAAGAGATGAATTGAATATCCCTCAGCAAGCTGATCTAAAGGAGGCTTCTAGAGGAATGGGTGATGCCATCGGTATAGAGAACTAAGCACCATGGAAGAGCAGCGGGAAAAGGCAATGGTCTGGATTGAGAACTAATTGGCAAGAGCCAAAAGGAAAGGTGATGTCCTTGGGTGCAAGGTACCCCATGCTCTGGGGACAGGGCACCTCATCTGGGACAGCTTCCTGCCTGTAGCACCCTCTCTGCTGCACACACCCCACTCTCTGCCTGCACTCTCAAGTGTCTCACAGAAGCTTTGCACCTCCCCTGCAGCAGCGACTCCTCACTGCAGGAGGTTCCTGCAATCCCCAGGCTCAGGGATGGATCCTGCATTCCAGGCAAGTTTGGGTAGTGCAGGAGAGGGAGACAGGAAGGTGGGCTCATGGGGCATGATGAGCAGCGTTCAGGCACCCCCAGCAGTGGGTTCCCCATGTGCCACACTGAGGCATGTTCCCATGATGGAAAGTTCTCAGATAGCCTCTGGTCTGTCCAGGGCCTGCAGCCACACTCCAGGATCACCTACTCCTCCTCCACCTACAGACACCAACTGCTCTCCATTGCTGGGCTCCGTCATGCTTGTAAGGATTTGTTAAAGCCCTGAACCATCACCTTGCTTCTTGCTGACTTCCCTCCACCCTCTCTCACCTCCCTACACACTGCTCATTGCCACCAGTAACTAACTGAAGAGCTAAGAAGCTCTCGAGGCTTTCCTCAGGGAGTGACCATGTTTCTCCATTCACCATTGATGGATCCATTGAGTGCCAGGTGTGAGGTTCCTGCAGAGGCAGAGAAGCCCCTGGGCAGAGCCCTGCTGCCGGGAGGGGTGTGCAGGGCAGAGCTGAGCACACAGCCCATGGCATGGGCTCTGGGAGCACTGAGAGGGAGCAGAGCTGGGCACAGAGCAGCAGCTCCTGGCAGGGACAGCTCCAGGCAGCAGAGATATGGATGGGCAGGGAGTGGGGGGAAAGTGCAGCCCAGCCCTGGGAAGGGTGCGTTCAGGCAGCTCTCTTGGGGTCTGCCACTGGAGGTGGCTGCTGGCCATGCTCTGCTGCCCACAGCCCTTTGCTTCTCAGTGTGAGAGCTCTGTGGACTGCCCTTTGAAACCGTGCTCCCCTGCTTTCAGCACAGGACAGGTGTTTGTGGGGGTTCTTAAGATCAGTTTGTGTGTGAAGGCATCATATACAAGTGTTGTAAGCACAGGGCAAATGGGAAAGGACTGATGGACACTGCAGCCCTCCTTGCTCTGCACTAAGCTACAAGGAGCTGAGAACTTCTCCCTGTTTCAATATTGTTCTGATTTTCTGTCATACAAAGAATGTTTTATAGTCCCGTCCCCCCCCAAAAGTGTTATGCCAGTAAATAAATAACACAGTCCAAATGACTCTAAGGCCATGCTGAGCCTCTCTTGTGCAGCCCAGACACTCTTGAGTCATGAGTACAAGTAGTGAACTTTACAATGAAATTGGATTTCATCTGTCATCCCTTGTGAACATCAGAGGTGGACAAAGCACTGCTTCAGAGCAAAGCCGACTTCCATCCAACCTGGCCTTGAGCACTGCCAGGGATGGGGCAGACACAGCTTCTCTGGGCACCCTGTGCCAGTGTCCCACCACTCTCAAAGGGAACAACTTCATCTGAATGTCCAAGCTGAATCTCCCTTTTTTCAGCTTAAAGCCATTCCCCCTTGTTCTGTCACTGCAGTCCCCTGCAAAAACCCCTCTCCAGATTTCTTGTAGGCCCTGCTTAGATATGGAGAGATTGCTAAGATATCTCCCTGGAACCTTATCTTCTCCAGGCTGAACACCCACATCTCTCAGCCTGTTTCCATTGGAGATGTGTTCCAGCCCTTAGAGCATCTTTGTGACCCTTCATAAGCCCATCATTGTAGGATCAGAAGTGAACACAGGTTGGAAGGGACCCCAGGATGTCTCAAGTCAAACCTGTCAGGAGCAGAGTCAGAGCAAGTGGTTCAAGGCTTGATTCAGGCTGAGTTGGCAATCCTTAAGGCCAGAGACTGCACAGCCTCTCTGGGTGACCTGATGCAGACCTTGCCTGAGCCGATTGGAACAAGGTTTCCTTCTGTCCTGCCTGAACCTCTCCTCTGTCACTATCCCCCACTGCCTTTTGGCCTCCCACCAGGCACCATGGTGAGGAGCCTGGCTCTGTATTCTCCATGTCCTCCTTGCCAGTACAGGCAGCCAGTCCCCATCAGCCTTCCCTTCTCCAGGCTGGAGAAGTCCAGCTCCCACAAACTCTCCCCACAGACACCGTGCTCCAGTATCTCCTGACCTGAGGGCCCATTACTAAACCCACTCCTGAAGTGGGGATCTGAAACCTGGATGGAGGATTCCAGATCATCCCTTCCCTTGTTCTCCTGCCGTGCTCCTGCTCATACAGCCCGCGATGCTGCTGTCCTCCCTTGCTGCCTCCTGTCCAGCTCCTGCCCACCCAGACCTTTCCCCTGGGCTGTTCTCAGCCAGGCAGCCCCAGCCTGGGCCATTGTAGGGGAGTTCCCTGTAGGGACCCCCTGTGTCCCCTGCTCCCCTGCCCAGGACACCCTGAGAGCTCTGCACCCCCCCCATGCCATCCCATCTCCCCACACCAGCACAACAGCCCTGGGCCTTGGGCTCCCCCAGAGCTCTTCCTGCTGCAGGCAGAGAGCAGCCATCCCACAGCTGGAGCAGCCAGAAAGCTGCTTTCATTCCCCTTCATTCCTGACATGTGAGGACGTATCACAGAGAAGAAGTTGCTGCAGGATCATTTATTTCCCTTAAATACAATCAGAGACCAGAGTGACACAAAGTCTGTGGGTCACACAGCACGAGTGGCAAGTTAATTAGGAGATGAAAACTGACATTTCTATGAAGACAACATCATCACAAATTGAAATAGGAAAACAAATGTAAAGCAGGAAAGACAGGCATGGCCTGTCGTGACCTACACTGGAAGCCCTGTCCAGGGTAAAGCAAGCAGTGTATATCTGCTGAAACACATCTGGTCATCAGCTTCCTCACAGCATTCTTCAGCTCCTGATTCCTCAGGCTGTAGATGAGGGGGTTCACTGCTGGAGGCACCACCGAGTACAGCACTGACACCACCAGATCCAGGGATGGGGAGGAGATGGAGGGGGGCTTCAGGTAGGCAAAGACAGCAGTGTTGACAAAGAGGGAAAGCACGGCCAGGTGAGGGAGGCACGTGGAAAAGGCTTTGTGGCGTCCCTGCTCAGAGGGCATCCTCAGCACAGCCCTGAAGATCTGCACATAGGACCCCACAATGAAAACAAAACAGCCAACAGCAATCAGGGCAGCAACCACAAGAAGCCCAACTTCCCTGAGGTAGGAGTGTGAGCAGGAGAGCTTGAGGATCTGTGGTATTTCACAGAAGAACTGCTCCACAGCATTGCCTCGGCACAGGGGCAGTGAAAATGTATTGGCTGTGTGCAGCAGAGCAGTGAGAAACCCAGTGCCCCAGGCAGCTGCTGCCAGGTGGACACAAGCTCTGCTGCCCAGGAGGTTCCCATAGTGCAGGGGCTTGCAGATGGCCACGTAGCGGTCGTAGGACATGGCAGTGAGGAGAAAATACTCTGCTGAAATGAAAAAGAGAAAGAAAAAGAGCTGTGCAGCACAACCTGTGTAGGAGATGGCCCTGGTGTCCCAGAGGGAATTGGCCATGGATTTGGGGACAGTGGTGGAGATGCAGCCCAGGTCCAGCAGGGAGAGGTTGAGGAGGAAGAAGTACATGGGGGTGTGGAGGTGCTGGTCACAGGCTGTGCTGGTGATGATGAGGCCGTTGCCCAGGAGCGCAGCCAGGGAGATGCCCAGGAAGAGCCAGAAGTGGCAGAGCTGCAGCTCCCGCGTGTGTGCGAATGGCAGGAGGAGGAAGTGGGTGATGGAGCTGCTGTTGGACATCTGCTGCCTCTGGGCATGGGGCACCGTCAGAGGAGAAAAAGGCAGTGACAGGTTAGGACAGGAGGGATGTCAGATACAGAAGTTCAGTTTACACATTCACAACTGAGCACATTTTAGCAGGAGAGGAGAGGATCAGCGTCGTCACCAGTCATGTCATTACACTGCTGAGGCTTCTTCCTAGGTACAATCAGAAGAGCATTGCATCAGGCCAAAAGTCTCAGCTCTTTGCAGAACCAAGAGAGCTGCAGTGTCCATCAGTCCTCTCCCACTTGCCCTGTGCTCAAACTTGTACTGCCTGTAAGGTGCCTTCACACACAAATTGATCTTAAGAGCTCCCACAAACATCTGTCCTGTGCTGAGACCAGGGGAGAATGGTTTCAAAGGACAGTCCACAGAGCTCTCACGCTGAGAAGCAAAGGGCTGTGGGCAGCAGAGCACGGCCAGCAGCCACCTCCAGTGGCAGACCCCAAGAGAGCTGCCTGAACGCACCCTCCCCAGGGCTGGGCTGCACTTTGCCCCCACTCCCTGCCCATCCATATCTCTGCTGCCAGGAGGTGTCCCTGCCAGGAGCTGCTGCTCTGTGCCCAGCTCTGCTCCCTCTCAGTGCTCCCAGAGCCCATGCCATGGGCTGTGTGCTCAGCTCTGCCCTGCACACCCCTGCCTGTGCAGGGGCTCAGGAGCAGCTCACACAAGCCCTCACAAGACTCTCGGTGCCTCCCCCAAAGCAGAGAAGTAAATTCCCAGCTCCCACTGCCCAACCTGCCCACCAAGAGGGAAAAACATCAAAGCTCAGCATCCTTCCCTATCAGGTAAATGATGCCTCAGTGTCTTTCAGAGGGACCCTCTGAAGAAGTGCTCAGAGTGACGGCAGATTGGAGCAGCGTCACCCACCCAGCACTTCCCTTCTCTGCCAGGGGTTTCTGCTTTCCCCTCAGCTCCCCGCCCTGAGCTCCATGGGGAGCTCCCGGGCAGGCCGAGTGCTGACCCTGGCAGGCAGCAGAGTCCCTGCCCCTGCACACAGCCTTTGGGCTGCAGGGACCCTGCTGCAAGGGCAGCACTGGGCACCCCTGGCTGCACACCCACATTCACACCCTGCAGCCAGCCCCGGGACAAGGGACCTGCCTTGTCCTGTCCCTGCATGGTGCAAGGGAAGCCCTGCTCTGGAGCACATCCTCCTCCTTATCTACACAGAGAGAAACTGCAGCTGCATTGCCCTGCACCCAGTGCCTTACCACAAACAGGGCTGGGAAGGTTTCGCCTTCAGAAGGTTACTCCTCCTCCTCCTCAGCATCCTCCACTGCCAAGTGCCTTTAAGCTCCCTGTGTCTCGCAGGTCTCCCCTCGGTCCCAGCTCAGCAGCAGAGGCCCAGCCCAAGGTGGCTCTGCCTCTGCCCCACTGGGCTCCTTCCACAGCTCCCTGGGGCTCCAGAGAAACACCATGGGAAACAGCCTGATGATACAAAGATTTGAGGCTAAAAATCTTTGTTTCCTACAATCAATCAATTAATTTGAAAATGGCCCTTTGAGAACATCGAATCCAACCGTTAACTTATCTCTGGGAAGTCCACACACTGAGCATGAGAACATCTCTGGTAGGATACCCTGGTTGGATGGTCAGCAACAGCAACTGGGGCTTTAAAGTTGAATTTTACATCCCACCTTAATTTCTCTAATTTATATCCTATTCTGTTTGTTGTTAAACATTCTGCTATACATTAGAGCATAGAAATCAGCTGAACAAGTTACGTTGATGCAGAAACCTGTCCATTTATACTTTTCACTGCGCCAAGGGCAGCTTTAGCATAGGGATGCATCTAGATCTGTGCACAGCCATCTAGCTCCATCTCAGTGTGTTGTGTTAGGTTGGATATTTAATTGCAGGTGCGTGTATATTAGCTTCAGTGATCAAGTGCTGTTAGAAATCCTGTGATTGAGTTTACAAATGCAAACTGCTGCTAGCTGGCATTTGTGATCCTTTAGATGAATACCAGGCCTGAGACTAAGATGGAATCCAGCTGCACGCAGACTGCTCTCGGAGAGGGAGCTTAGAAAGCAAAGAGATCCAATCTGAACCTCGTGACTCAACAAGAGGGTCTCCCTTATTCCTTTCTGTCTGCAGTTTCTATACACATGATTTCAGTTGAATGCTGTATAAATCACTTGAATCCAGTCCTGGATAAATCCTTGCCAAGTCTGACACAATCTCTTTTTGTAGATGGTGGAGTGGGGCGTCGCCACCAAATCCTGAGGAATCCTGCTTTTAGAAATTCACATTAAAATCACTTTTGCTGGTATCTGTGGAAGTGATTCTTTCAGCATTCTTTCTAAACAGTTTCACAAGAGGCATGCAGGACTTTTCTGCGAAACACGTTCCAGTGTCTCACCACCCTCACAGGAAAGAATTTCTTCAGAGAACAGCGTTTCTGTTTCACTGCAGACAAAAGAGGCAGGAGAGAAGGGGTGGGGAGCACACACCCCAGCCCCGACTCCGCACAGGGCAGCAAGGGGGGCTGCTCTTCACTACAGCACAGCTGGGCTGAACTGAGTCAGTGCTTACACAGAAACCTGTCCTTGTCCCTGATGAAGCTCTACAGCCCACAGGCTTCTCCACAAGTACCAGCCCATCTGTTTTTCTTGTCATGTCTTGCCCAGTGTCACAAGCTGTGGCACAAGGGGAGGCCCTTGTTGCTGTTTCTCCTGGAACACAGGGAAGTAGAAAATGAAATACTTTTTTTAATAATGAAACCCATTCCAGTTACCACGGAAAATATGGAACAAGATGCTAGAGCCCTACAGGTTTTACCAGGAAGAGCAACAATTAACTAAAAATTCCCTCCTGTGCTGTTTCCTTTCCCAGCCCATGGATACTTTCCTCAGTAACTGGCAAACTGCACATGACACAGCAAGAGATCTGTGTCAAGCAAGGTCAGGCAAGGCAAGGCAATGCAAGACAAAGGAAGGCAAAGCAAGGGAAAACAATGCAAGGCTAGGGAAGGCAAGGCAAGGCAAGGCATGAAATGGCATGGCAAGACAAGGCAAGGCAACTCAAGGTAAGGCAAGGCAAGGCAAGGCAAGGCCAGGCAAGGCCATGCCAGGCCAGGCCAGGCCAGGCAAGGAAATGCAAGGAAAGCCAAGGCAATGCAAGGGCAGGGAAGGTAATGCTAGGCAAGGCAAGGCATGTCCAGGCCTGGCTAGGCCAGGAAAGGCCAGTCAAGTCATGGCAAGGCAAGGCAAGGCCAGGCCAGGCCATGCCAGGCAAGGCAAGGCAAGGCAAGGCAAGGCAAGGCCAGGCAAGGCAAGGCAAGGCAAGTCAAGGCAAGGCCAGGCAAGTCAAGGCAAGGCCAGGCAAGTCAAGGCAAGGCAAGGCTAGGCAAGGCTAGGCAAGGCATGGCAAGGGAATTAAAGGCATGGCAGAGAAGGGAAGGCAAGGCAAGGGAAGGCCAGGCAAGGCAAGGCAAGGGAAGGCCAAGCAAGGCAAGGCAAGTGAAGCCCAGGCAAGGCAAAGGAAGGCAAGTCAAGGCAAGGCAAAGCAAGACAAGGAATGGCAAGGAAGGAAAATCATAGCAAGGCATGGCAAGACAAGGGAAGGTAAGGCAAGGGAAGTCAATTCAAGGGAAAGCAAGAAAAGGCAAGGCAAGGCAAGGCATGGCAAGGGAAGAAAAGGAATGGCAAGGAGACGCAAGGCAAAGCAAGGCAAGACAGGGCGAGGCAAGACAGGGCAAGGCAAGGCAAGGCATGGCAAGGGAAAGAAAGGCATGGGAAGGCAGGGCAAGGCAGGGGAATGCAAGGCAAGGAAATGCAAGGGAAAGTGAGGCAGGGCAAGGAAAGGCAAGGCCATTCCAGGCCAGGCAAGGCAAAGAGAGGCTATGCAAGGCGATGCGAGGCAAGGCAAGGGAACGCAAGGCAATGCAAGGCAAGGACAGGCAAGGCAAGGCAAGGACAGGCAAGGCCAGACCAGGACAGGCAACATCAGGCCAGGCATGGCAAGGCAAGGCAAGGGAAGGGAAGGCAAGGCAAGGCCAGGCAGGGTAAGGCAATGAAAGGGCAGGCAAGGCAAGGCAAAGCAAGGCAAGGCAAGGCAAGGGAATGCAAGGCAGGGGAATGCAAGGCAAGGCAAGGCAAGGCATGGCAATGCCAGGCAAGGCAATGCAAGGCAGGGCAATGCAATGCAAAGGAAGGCAATGCAAGGCAAGGCAAGGCAATACAAGGCAAGGCAAGGCAAGGCAAGGCAAGGCAAGGCAAGGCAATGCCAGACAAGGCCAGGCATGGTAAGGCAAGGCAAGGCAAGGCAATGCCAGACAAGGCCAGGCATGGTAAGGCAAGGCAAGGCAAGGCAAGGCAAGGCAAGGCAATGCCAGACAAGGCCAGGCATGGTAAGGCAAGGTAAGGCAAGGCAAGGCAAAGCAAGGCAAGTCAAGGCCAGGCCAGCCCAGGAAGGACAAGGCAAACCAAGGCAAGGAAAGCCCTGCAAGGCTAGGAAGGGCCACATAAAGCAGGGCAAGGCCAGGCTAGGCCAGGCCAGTCAAGGCAATGGAAGGTACGAAGAGGCAATTCAATGCAAGGCAAAGCAAGGCCAGGCCAAGCCATGCCAGGAAAGGCCAGGCAAGATAAGTCAATGCAAGGCAAGACCAGGCAATGCAAGGCAAAGAAAGACAAGGCAAGGCC